AGAGGCACCAAGATGCCCTAGAGGATCTCAAATCAGCTCTCACATCAGACGCTGTGATGGGCTATTTTGACCCAACAAAACAATCTGAGGTGCTAGTAGATGCCAGCCCGGTAGGTGTTGCTGCAGTTCTGACTCAAAAGTCGGGTGACGAGATATCTGTTATAAGCTATGCCAGTCGAGCGTTGTCTTCAGTTGAACAACGATATTCCCAGACCGAAAGGGAGGCACTTGCAGTCGTGTTTGGCTGCGAAAAATTCCACCTGTACCTTTATGGAAGTCACTTCATCATCCTTACCGATCATCGACCTCTCTTAGGGATTTTCAACAACCCTAGGTCTACACCACCAGCTCGGATCGAACGCTGGGTGTTGCGGCTTCAACAGTATGATATGATGCTACAGTACCGTCCAGGCAAGGATAACCCAGCAGACTTTACAAGCCGACATCCTGGGAACAGTGCATCATGCAGCCGTGCAGAGATAATCGGTGAAGAGTACATTAACTTCCTGGCACAGGCAAGCACTCCTATCGCCTTGACCCTTGATGGGATCAGAGCAGCAACTGCTGGTGATAAGGAAATGCAAGATGTCATAAAGGCCATCAGATCAGATCGGTGGTCACCAGAGATCTCACAATACCAGAAGGTCAGAGGGGAGCTATCGGTTACAGCCGACCAAAGCCTAGTCCTCAGAGGACGACGCATAGTTCTCCCACAGTCATTGCGCCAGAGAGCAATAGAGCTTTCTCACGAAGGCCACCAGGGACTAGTTAAATCTAAGCAATTGCTCAGAGCGAAGGTGTGGTTCCCAAATGTAGACAAGCTAATGGCGGACCAAATAGAAAAATGCATAGCATGCCAGAGTAATATCACAACTCCCCAGACTACGGTTCCTCTACAAATGACAGACTTACCGGATTACCCATGGCAGTCTGTCAGCGTTGACTTCTATGGTGAGCTACCATCAGGAGAACATCTTATGGTTTTAATAGATGATTTCTCCAGGTATCCAGTGGTTGAGATCATACACTCACTCACTGCTACGACTGTCATTCCTGTCCTTGACAGAGTGTTTTCTCAGTTCGGAACCCCAGAAAGGTTGAGGTCCGATAACGGCCCTCCCTTCAACAGTCAAGACTTTGCAGACTTCACTAAATATCTCGGTATAAAACACCATCGTGTAACTCCTTTGTGGCCACAGGCCAACGGGGAGGTAGAGAGGTTTATGCGGAACTTAGGAAAGGTGACCAGAGCCGCAGCTGTTGAACATAAATCATGGAAACAGGAACTGTTCAAATACCTAAGAAATTATCGTGCTACACCACACTCCACAACAGGAGTCCCACCAGCAACAGTTATGTTCGGACGTGACATTCACATCAAGCTCCCATCAGTCGATGATGGAAAGGGCACCCCGGACAAAATCAACAGTGAAATCAGATCGAGAGATAGGGCTGCCAAAGCAAGGATGAAATCTTACTCAGACTCTAAACGGAGAGTGAAGGAATCCAATCTACATGTTGGAGACACTGTACTTGTGAGACAGAAGAAAGTCAACAAGCTGACACCTCCTTACAGTCCCAAACCTATGACTGTGATAATTGTCGAAGGAACAAAGGTGACAGCGAAGTGTGATGGACATCGTATAACGCGAAACGCGTCCTTCTTCAAAAAATTTCGTGGGGAGAAGGTAAAGGGGTCAGGGACACCCAATAAAAGACTCGTTCGTGATCTGGACTATGACGAAGTGGACATTGTAGATCCAGTTGCTCATAATGATCCAGCTCCGGTTGAGATTCAGCCTGCTCCAGTTAGACCTCAGCGCAGAGCCAGGCGGCCCGCATATCTGCAGGACTATGCTGTTTGATCCATTTACAAGTGGACATTAATCAGAGTGAAAATTTGTCACGGAAAACTGTCACTTAATTATATTGTTTAATTTCACCTAATATGTTCAATCCAGTTGTATTTTGGACATCAGTCATGCTACTTTCAGTTTCTTCAACATTAAGCAATTCTCCCGTTAATAGGATTTTAAACATAAGTTAAAGGACTTTGTTTAACTTTCATTTGGTGTTTATTATTCCATTATATTAGACATTGGTTGTCAATCCAATAAGAAGGGGAGAGATGTGATATTCAGTGCACAACTGTGTAGTTTTACGTTTCCCCGATAGGGGGCATTAAAGGTCGTCTTGTTAGCAGCAACCATTAGTGTGTGGCGTTGTTTGTCTCCGTGAGATAATATTCAAACATTACAACTGCCAAGGCCGACGCAGCCTCCGAAGAAGCTCGGACAAGTGCTCTAGAAAACATCTGTTAAATTTAAACTTATATCTGTTATTATTAACACTTAGAGTTAGGAAGTAAGTTTTAGAACACACCGACAGAGTAGCACAAGCAATTAGTGGCCATTGCATGTATGTATATAGAGTGTGCCATGTGAAATATTACTATCATTTGTAATAGTAAAATTTATGTTTTATACCGAAAGCGGGTGTTAGGGTAGTTTTGCTGCCAGTGACCTTTCGCGGTCTTTAATCTGAGACGAAGTAGATCATCAAGTGTGTTATCTCGGTGTATAGGTTGGTACATGTTCTGTCCAGCAGATAGCAGGCAAGATGATTAGTAAACATAATGACACATTTTGCTGACTGCATCGTAGGCTCTCTATTTTGCACAATTTCCAACTACTAAACTACTAAACTACTAAACTACTAAACTACAAGTGTTTGTGAAATAGCAATTGCTATCAATGAATGTTCGGTACAAATACAGATAAAGGTTAGTAACACTATAGAAAAATTCTGTATTTTTTAGTGCGTACTTAATGCACCTTGTTGTAACCGCATGCTAACTGCATGTGTGATGGGGGATATATAGGTGTTATATTGTACCGTAGGTATATTGTGTTAGGTTATGGTATCAGGCGCTTTCATATTCTTTCTCTAACGTGTTGTCCAATAAACGCTAGAAAAGAGAGTTGATAATCGCTAGTATCATGCACCCATCTATATGCCCATATGTATAAAAAGTTCTAGTATAAATAGTTGTTGAATAGGAGCATAAATATCCACATGATCCAAATGTCCATTATTTGCTCTTGGCACTAGTAACATTATAGTTGTTGTACTAATTTATTTCTACTTAGAAGATGGTTTTATGTTTAGGTTTTGTTATTTGTACTGAATGCGCTTAAATTGACTACGTCACGAATTTTCTATGGTAAAATTTGTAAAATTTTTGTTGACATTTTTTCACATTAAAAGTAAAAACTAACGGGACTAAACGTATCGTCAAATTCTTACCTGATAAGATTGTTTCTCAACTAGTTGAAAATCCAAAAAATCTGGACGATTTGATATTAGTGTTTCTAACATTAATTGCTTGCTATGGGCTATGTATGCGTCACGAGTGTATGTTCACATCGAACAATATAGTAAAATAAGAAGTATAATGCAGCAATTTAACATAAAAAGTGAACAGAATTACTTATATTTTGTGAAAAAGTGGAAATATGTTTTTCATTTTTTACTGTTTACGGTGACGTAATCACTGTAAGTTTTATTAAATTTATTTGAATAAATATAATGATGTCAGGTCAATGAGTATTCAATCTCGAGCAAATCGATTAAATTATTTTTGGTTGTCTTTATTAATGATGGGATAGTGCCTACCCTGGCTGGCCCAACACAAATAAAATTTAAATAAGTCAATAAATGGCTATCTGTGTTCTACATTCTGAAATTATCTATTTAATTTAGAAAACACAAACCCACCTGTCATTTTAATAATCATAAACTGTCTACGCTTGTTTTTGCACATGCCTATAGTATCTACTAAAATGGAAGAATATCTTTGTTCAAGTTATAAAAAAAACAAATATTTCTTGCTGTAGCCTGATATGAATGATTATATCATTTCTTTCTATAATAACGATAAAAAAGCTCTAGCTGACTTACTTAACGCGAATGAGATTTAAATCAGCCAGTAGGCCCTAGATGGCGATTTGTGTCCAAATGATATATACACCTGCATATCTATAGTCGCTATTAATTAAATTAAATGATCATACATTTCATTTAGAGAGTATATTTACCAGTCATAACCTCTCTAATTATCTCAAATTTAATTACAGCATAGTATAGTGATAGACCTGTGTTAGCGCATGCCTAGAGTATCTGTCGAACAAAACAATAAGTTGTTAAAAGTAGAGAACAAATAATCCGTAGTCTAATATTAAAAATAAATTCTTTTTACTTAAATTGATTTGATGAATGTTCACTCATTTCATATATAACACGATGAAATGATTTTTAAGGCAGAGGTGGCCGCATAACCCTCCGCACATCCTAAGTCGGACTCGTCGACCTTTAATAACAATATTTTAGAACGAAGTATTGCTTGCAGCGCACAAGTTAGTTTAGTCCACACTAGTGCTTTTCGACAATTCTTAAAATTTTGTTCAGAAGTATATCAGTTAAATTATTCAGATCCTGCAGGAATGTTTTTCACTCTACGGCATCTCCACCAAATGCCGTCTTTACACCTCAGTTGCCGTTCTACCATTTGTTGGTAATTGCATGCCACATTACAGCAGTCTGTTTGCTCGCAGAAAACGCAATTGTACTGGGCACGTCAAAACAGTTTTCAACCAATCACATCCATGTCATTGCTCTGCAACAGGGGCGCAAATCCAGGGGGAACAAGGGGACATGTTCCCCCACGAATTTTCAGAGGGGGGGACATTATATCAAATGTCCCCCCACGATTTTGGATCACCATGATTTTGTGTGTTTCTTTGAAAATTTCCCGGCCGCAAACGCAACGCACCTCGGACGAGCCGTTTACACTGTCGGATTCAGAAAAGATTCTAGTTTCTGAAATTAACAATTGCAAAGAGTTCTGACCCTTTCTAATGAGAAATACAAAATTCAAGCGTACGCGTACACTCAAATACGATCTCATTATTGACCTATCCCAGCGCTCATCGGTGGATTTGCCACCGTGGTACCACAAACACACGCCGGTGAAAACATAACCCCCGCCTAGCCCATGGCGGAGGTAATAACAAATAAAAGCTCCGTTTTTCCAGAGTTCCTCGTACGTAATAATAGATTAACTTCAAATAATCCTGTTAAAATATGCAGTATCTTCAATGAATACTTCTCAAAGGTTGGAGAAAATTAGGCTCGTAAAATTCCAACTAATTGCAGGTCATTTACTAGTTACCTTGGTAATCGCCAGCAGGAATCTATGTTTCTACTTTCTATCACAGAGAATAAAATAATGACAACAATGTCGTCCATGAACTCGAACAAAGCTTGCGGCCCTGATAGCATCCCAGCCAAATTCATCAAATTAGGAAGTGAGAAACTGGCTCCAGCTCTAACCAATATCTTCAATAGGTGCCTGGAAGAGGGAATCTTTCCCACCTGTCTAAAAATAGCCAATATTATCCCAATGTACAAGAGTGACTGTCCCAATATGGCAGTAAATTACAAGACCTATTTCCCTGCTGTCCCATTTTTCAAAAATACTTGAAAAACTACTTTATAACAAATTATACAAATTCTTAATTCGCTGTAATACCTTAAGCCCTAACCAATTTGGATTTAGGAAAAATCACTCATCTATGCTAGCAATCTCTGATATTTATAAAAATCTCCTTTCAGCAATGGATGAAGGGAAATCTCAATGCGGTATTTTCCTGGACCTTTCAAAGGCATTTGACACTGTGCAGCATGATATTCTTTTTCATAAAATGAGCCACTATGGCATCAGAGGAACCGCCTTACATTTATTTAAAAGCTACTTAACAAACAGGTTGCAGTTTACAAGTACTGGCATTTCATCTTCATCCAATTTACATGTCTCATATGGGGTACCACAAGGGTCAACTCTTGGTCTCTTGCTATTCTTAATATATATGCATAACCTCCCTAATGCTTCAAATTTTATAACTAGAATATTTGCTGATGATACCAACTTATTCGTGTCAGGAAGTAATATTAATAATTTAAACAGTATTGTAAATAAAGAACTTGCCTGCATTGATGATTGGATAGCATCCAATAAATTATCTATTATAACTAAAAAAAAAAAAAATTATGATAATCAGCAACAAGTCCGAATTTCCGACATTTAATATTAAAATGGGAAACTCCACTCTTGAACAAACTAGTCACATAAAATACTTAGGCATCTATTCGTTCACACCGTCGTTCTCTCACTCTCTCGTTAACACACAGCTACGAACTCTGGCAGGACTGCAACACGGACTGCGGATGCAACGTGGAGAAATACGCGCCGGTGTGCGCGTCGAACGGCGTCACCTACTTTTCTCCCTGTCAGGCAGGCTGCAGCGACGCCTACACACTCGGGGACGCCAAGGTAGTGATCTGTGTGTAGTGTCTGGTGTGTGTGTGTGTTGCTCGCGCACCGCAGGGGGAAGGTGGTTGGCGTAGATTTATAACAGACAGTTCTGCTAGCATCTATGACAAATACGACATACGAATAATGCGCTTTCCTATGACACTATTTGTCATAGGAAGATTCTTCCTATGACAAATATTGTTGTACGTGTTGTGCGCATCATATAAGAGTTTAGGAGCGCTATTGTGAACGAAAGCAGGGAGTTTCAGCTGTAAAGCGGAACGAGGTTGACTCGCCAATATTTGTCATAGTAAGAATCTTCCTATGACAAATAGTGTCATAGGAGAGCGTATATGCGTATGTCGTATTTGTCATAGGAAGATTCTTCCTATGACAAATAGTGTCATAGGAGAGCGTATATGCGTATGTCGTATTTGTCATAGATGCCAGCAGAACATGTTGTGTATAAATTGTTGCCGTTTTTTACGAGGTTTATGTGTACATCTTGTTGAGAATTAACCTTCTCCTTTGGCTACGGTAGTACGGTGGCTTTGCGATCACTGACGGCGATATTGGGACTTGGTGTAACGGGCTTTACGACGTTCAAGTATGCGTGCGCGCACGTGTATACGTGTGTGTGTGTGCTTGTGCGTGCGCGCATGCATGCGTGCTTTCCGTCACTCTCCGCCTCAATCTTTTCGTTGCAGAATTTTACGGGCTGCTCCTGCACGCCAGATGGCGTGGCGACTGCCGGCAAGTGTGACAGAACGTGCACCGGCGCCATGGTTGCGTATTTCATTCTCCTCGGCGTTGCTGGCCTGCTAGTCGCACCTGCCAATGTGGCCAGCTTCTCACTAAAAATACGGTGAGTCATATTTACTGTGTTGTCTGTCAAACACTGACAAAATCTGTTTAGGAAACTTTATAAATGTATATAGGCCCTGTGTGCGTTTGTGGGTGGGTCCGTCCGTGCGTACGTGCGTGTGTGCGCGTGTATATATATATATATAGTATATAACCCACAGACTAATTATGTAGACGACAGTGCCCTGTTATCCTTTAATGTGAAACATGAACATACGATTACATTATGCTTACATGTTTTCCAGAGTGGTTGAACCCAAAGATAAAGCTATGGCGTTGGGACTTGGAAGTTTTCTGCTCTCGGGGCTAAGTGAGTGCTTCATAATGATTCATGTTTCGCTGTCATTAAGAATCTACTACACACGCTAGCAGGTGTAGGTTAGCGCGATAATTCACGGACGCAAACTCTCCCTAACCATATCGTGAAGCAGTTATTTACGGCTAGCGGTAAGAGGTAGCTCTATTCATCGGCTAGCATCCTTATTTAACCCAACCTCCAAAGTACGTGACAGGTTCAAATTTCTAAAAATAAACATTAAAGCTAACTTTTCACCAGTTCCTTTCGTATGCGTTTTTGTATGTGTGTATGCATTCTTGATATTCATCTATCATCTACCATCTATTATCTCTGTGTATTCATGTTGTAGGAGTCTTTCTGCTCTTGTACTTCTCCGTTCGTTGTTGTGTGAGTGTCTGCGTGAATGAACAGTGAATATATATATATATACATATATATAAGTAAAAACACACGGACAC